ATACTAATATTGTTCAAAGGGTTTTGGGGGCCAACCCAGACTTCAGGTCGGAAGCCAAGTAAGAGGAGCTTTCAGAGACAACTCCGGCCACCCTTGAAGGAGTGCCGCCTCAAAGGCCCAGATTTATGTCAACCGGCTGTTTCGCAGCCGTCGTTGCCGCAAAAAAAAAGATTCGCGAGAGATGCCTCTTGAAGTGTAGATGCAGCAAGTTGCTGTGTGGGCTACCTTTGCTTTGTCTGACTGACTAGTTTGCTTTTTGGGTGCTACCGGAAAGGCTTGGGTACTGCCCCCACCCGGTAACAGTCTATGTTAGGGGTCCTATTAAGGGCTACATATAACCATATCATATTTATTATCCAACTGTTACTGAGTGGGGGCAGTATCCAAGGGAAGGCAGTCTTTATGCCCAGAACTCTGAGGTTGACGTACTGCTATGGCTGCTCCGCATTGCCGCTGTAGCGCAGAATCCCCTAAACCCTCAACACCCACCCTGGACCCAGAACCCTGAAGCCTATAGTCCCCCTTAAGTAGATAGAATATGGGGTATATGGGGATCTTATTATAATATACCCAAAGCCATATTCTATCCCTAATCCCTAAACCCTAAACCTTAAATAGTAGTTTCCATTTTCTTTTCCATGATCCCTATGTAACCCCTATATTCTGTCTACTTAAGGGGGACTATAAACACTAGCCGAGCTCAGGTCTTTCGCCAAGGCGCCCCGGCCTGCTGATCACCAGCCGAAAGCTTTGCCGCCACGGGCCCAGTGCTTTGAGTACTTTGGGAGTTATGGTCCCCCATCGATAGAATCTGGGGCATATGGGGATCTCATTAGTTAGCAGATACCATTTCCATTTTCTAACCATGCCCCACCCCCTAGCACCCAAACCATAACAACCTATACCTCAACCCCCAACTCACCAAAATTCCCAACCCCAATACCCACATGATGGAACCACCAGAAGAACCATACACCACCACATAGAAAACCCCAACCTCAACCCCATAGACCCGCACCCCCATAGAAAAACCATATTCCCCNNAAATCCCTAACCCTAGAAAATGGAAATGGTATTCTCTAATAGAATATCTATAACTCTGATGCTTACAGTAGCTACGCAGGAGGGGAAAAACTCGGCGTGTAACTATGAAGCCCAAAGCCCTAAACCTCAGCTGATACCCTAAATCTAAGCGTTAGGTTGTCACCCCGAAATCTTTATAGCCTAAACCCACAGCCTCTAAACTCCCCAAACCCTCATACCTTAAACCTGCCAACCCTAAACCAAGAACCCCAAATCAGCCACCCCGCGGGGCCCTGAAGCCGCAGGCAGGTTAAGCGGGAGGAGAAGGCTCCTCCAGCGAGCTCGCCTTCCCCAAAGGCAGCACAGGCAATCTTGGCAGCACTGGGATTGGAAGGTTCTAGGGCTGCGGATGACGAAGGGTCTGTGCATAAGGATGAAAGAAGGGCTGAGACGGACAAGATCGGGATAGGACGATTATCCACCTAAGTAGTTTGAATCCCGCCGCTGGTGCTGCTGGCACTACTTCTGGTGTGTCATCGTCATCACCTTGACTGGGTTGCTGTTAATACAACTGATTTGCCATAATGGGTATACATAGTGAATAATAGGGTTTTCCAAATATCTAAATGAAGTTCCTTAACAGCAGCCCAGTTGAAACATAGTCGCTGGCATTGCTGGGTCGGCCAGGCGGTGGCTCGAGCTTCCGGCGAGTCTGACGACGCCCAGTGGGAGGACCTGGTGCATGTGTGCATAGGATCTAAGGCCCAGGTGTCAGGGATAGTAAGAATAGTGAAAATAGTGTCAGTAGAATAAAAACAACAGGAACAATAATAACAGTAAAGATCATAGCAGTAAGAACAAAAGTAATAGTAATCATAGTGACTGGGCCCAGGGGCCATTGCGGGGAGATAGCTGTTTACTTACGAGCTCTTCGTATTTTATGGGAAAAGATGATATACAGAGTTTTCTCAGGGATTGTACAAGGGTTATATTCCCTTATTCCCTACTAGCCCTAAACCTAAACCCTAATCCCTAAACCTCTAGACTATAGGGGTTCTATGCCCTTTTTCGCTACTAAGAACTAGTAAGTTGTCAACGGCAGACGCGTCAGCCTGGGATACTTTTGAGCAGCAAAATGGCATGAGCTAAATAGTCCAAACTCCTTGAAGGGGGCTAGATAGGGGATTATATGGTAGTTTAGACCCCAATATACTATAGTCCTTATTATAGGGACCCCCAAAAAGGCACCCCTAATTTTGGGAAACCTCCATATAGGGGAGTACTATAGGGGGTTTGTCAGGGGAACATTAGGAGTTTAGAGCAGGCTCCCAATCAGCAGAACTCAGCGGCCTCCCCCTTCAAGGTTTCACTGGGACGTGCAGGAACCATGAAGGTATGTGTGGCATTTCGACGCTCCTGATGATGGAGGGTTTGGCATTTTTCCCATCCTTCAGACAGGGGTGTGAAGTTCTAAATGCAGATTTTCTCCAATGGGAGTGCGGGAAGACAAGACAGAGAGGAGGACTTGCTGAGACGTTTTGCCGCTAGAATCTTCCTACAGAATACTGTATACATCTCAGTTTCCATTGCATTTTCCATCTTGTTTTCCATTTGATTCTCCATTATTGGGGGTAGCCTGTAGATTTTAATGAGTCAGTTGCGTCGGGGCTCCCAAGCAGCAGTAATGAGGAGAAGGGCAGTACTGGTAGTTACAATGATAGGCAAGGTTTAGGGTTTAGGGTGATAATGGTAACCAAGATTAGAAAGGGGAATAATGGTAGAAGGCCATCTGGAGATTTGCCCTAAACCCTAAACCCAAACCCTTTGTTTGAGGTGGACTTTCAGTATCTTCCGGGTCTTCATGTGAACTATAGTCTAAACTAATTGCTTATATCCCCCCGCTAAAGCCTTATAAATAGGACCCCTATACAATCTCCTATAAAATCCCTTGAAGGAGTTTAGAAGATGGCCTGTATATGGGTCTAGGGTGAGCACCCTTCTCTGTGCAAACTTTGCCAGGAAGATTCTCAAAGCAAACTTTCCTAGGAAGAAGCTGCAACCCCGCGGCCTGCCGCAAGATTTCCCAATTCTGAGACGGTTTAAGCTTCAAGGTTTAGGGTTCAGGGTTTAAGGTTTTGGGTTCGCAGTTTAGGAACGTCAGGGGCTTTCCATGCCAAACCCTACACCCTAAATCCTAAATCCTAAATCATTCTACGTCTAAACCGAGCCAAAACGCACACTGAACCTGGAAACCTGAAACCCTAAGAGCCCTAAAAAACCTTAAATCCTAAACCCTAAACCCTAAATCCTAAACCCTAAATCCTAAACCCTAAACCCTAGTTCCAGAAAGGTGCCCGGCGTGTACCAACGATAAAAGCATCCCTAGAGCCCTCAGCAAG